TCATAAATTCTTTTGCTTAATTTGGCTCTAAAAATGTTCAATAAATTTTTCTTGCAAATCATTTTATTCCAACTTATATTTAGCACTAATGCAACAAAATTGTATGTCACACGTTATGCTATTGTGCTGCAACTTCTATTTAATCTGCATTTTTTGTATTGTGTGTTTTTTTGCTCTGCCCCAAATCCTTTGGCAACTAAACGCTCCATGTAATATCCTGCGCGTTGTACTTCTCGATACATTTTTAAAATATTTTTTTCTATTTTTTTTTGTTATCTATTGCGCGGGCCGAAAAATACATTTTTTCAATCATTTACTGATAGATTTTTCGTTGTGGTTCTATTGCCGGATGCTGGACGAATGGGCTAGGACAGACGTAGGCGAGAGTCGTGGCACACACACACTCTCGCGATAGTTCAAAGTGTTGTAAATATTTGTTTTACAACGTTGTTTGCAGTTGGTGAAATTTGCAACCATTTTTTATGCTCCAAAACTGACGCTCGTTGGAATTGCGTTTGAGTTGCGGCTGGCAGGGGTATGAGATAATCGGGTTCGGGGCCTGGGGGTTTGGGGCTTCGCTTGAATATAGGTCTGGCAACTGTTATTGAACGGGTGCCACGGCGCGGGGCTTGTTTATTTATTTTCGGCTGCATTTTGACGTGGATTTAGTGCGAGCTATTTTGTTAGCCGTCTCACTAATATTTGATGAGCCTGGAACTGTCTATTTTCAGCTACTCTATGTATATCATAAAGCTGCGCAGAGGGTATATTAGAATGGGCAGTGCAGTTGTTGAATGCAGTAGAATATTATTATTATTATAAATATTATTAAGCTTAATATTTAATATATAAATATTATTAAGCTAATTAATTTAAAGTAGTATTTATATAATTTTACCTAAATAAATAATTATCTTTCACATTGAAATTTACAGAGCATTTCGCAGTCTCGAATCGCCAACTAACTCACATTCTCAACTATTTTTTAAAACACATTTATTTGATTGGCAAACGTTTCAAAAGTAATTGCACTCAAATTCAGAGAGCATATTGACGAAATTCAATATTGCTAAGGTTAAAGCTGACCCAACGCTGAGGCACACAGTCGGGGCACGCCCACAGTGCCGCCTGCTGGAGAACCCCTTGATTGCTGCTAATGGTTGCTGGGCAATTTGATAATGCGCTGAGTCCACACAGTTTAATTGAGTTGGGTGTGTAGGAAAGATGGCAAGCGGCAGAGCTGGCTGAGCGGCCGGTGGACTGTCTTAGTGCCTGGCCAAAAGCTGTCAGGCAACTAAGGCTAAAGCAACGTTTGCCTGCGCCTAATTGCATTTACGCTAATCCAATAGATTAAGACGCAGCTGGGGCCCGTTGACTGTTGCCTGCTGCCTGCTGCCTGTTGCTTGTTGCAACCTAGCCTGTTGACTGTTGCCTTCTGCTGCTGCTGCTGTTGCTGCCTCCACTCTTGCTGTAATGCAATGCAAAACAATAACAAAATTATGCTACCAGCAGCTGACAAGCTGCCACTCGCATTGAACTTCAAAAGGAGCGACAACTGCGGCATTTTGCCCGTCTTCATATTTCGCTTAACATTTTCCAGCAAAGTTTTCTTAAGTTTTCTTTTTCATAAATTTTTACTTTTAATCTTCTCATTTAATTAGCGTCATGCATAAATTATTAAATGCATATCATCTGGCTGGCACCCATTTTCCATTCAGCTTCTTCACATGCTCGCATTTTGGCCAACTAATTATATGTTGACATGACATTTATTTGACTTGCATAAATTAGCCAATTAGTTGAGTGCCGCAAATGAAGTTAGCTTACAGCTCTCACGCAGGTGGGTGTGTGTGTAAGTTAAATATATATGTGTGTGTGTTGTGTCATAAGTTATACGCACGGGTCCTAAGGTAGGTTTGACGGAGTTCAACATTTGGAGGCATAGCTAAAGTTCAAGTTTGTTTTGAATAATTTGCGCGAGTTGAAGTAGAGCAAGATATACATATATATATATACCTATATGTCTATATATACATATATATAAATATATATATGCATACTCTGCTTTGTCTACTTACCACGTCCAATCAAGCAAATCGTTCTATGCTTCCTCACATATTTTATTCACTCTCAGCTATTCAGTCTAAATTGTTTACTTTACTTTCATAGAATGAATACTAAAATGCCATAGCCAAGCAGCTCTCATTACATTTATTAATTAGCCAACACGCAGTGCTTAAGTAATAGCCATTATGGCCAGCTCTGCAATAGGCCTGCCTAGCAGGCTGTCAACTGCCTGTCAGAGCTGGCAGCCTTTAACCAGTCAGCCTGCAGCTGCTACGCCCACTGAACACGCCCTCAATCACACACATATAAATCGTCAGGGACAAGGTGGCAAGGTGGCATGATGGCAAGGTGGATGGCTGCGAATATTTTGGACACAAGTGCAACGCGGCGTATACTCAATGTAACTGCCACGGCTGAGTGCAATAGCCCAGCGCACAGCCACGCCCACACAATTGCCAGACGACGCTTGTCATCATTAGATTAGAGTGCACACCAATACACGCACACCAACACACACACGCACACTGAGACAAAAATTAAACTGTTGGGCAACTGCGTTTTGCTTGTCAGGATGTGCGTTAAATTGTAAAACAACACAAAGCGATTGGTCTAGTAGGGTGTAGCAGGGTGTAGCTGGGGTGTAGTAGGGTGCAGCTGGGGTATAGTAGGGCTATAGTTGAGTGTGCAGCTGTATGTCTGCTGTCTGCTTTGGCTGGGATCTGCCTCTCTCTCTCTTTCTCCTTCTTCCTCTCTCTCTGTTGCCAGGACTGTCATGCTGTGGCCGGCTTTCGTTTATTTTTGCGTATTAGACGCTGCTATTTTGTGCTTATTGTTTCCCGGCGCACAAAAACAGAACACAGCAGACTCTTGCCCTTCCTTCCTCCCTCCCTCACTCTATTTCGATATGCCACGCCCACAATGCCTTGGTGGCACTCCTCAAATTGTTAGCCCTGTTATTTTTCGGTTGTTTGGGTTCTTGGTTGTGTTCGCATTGTCAGCTCATTTGTAATTTTTGCGCAACGATTTCAAATTAAGCAACCGGAAATGAGCTGACATTTTGCCAGTGTTCTGCTGTCCTCAGTGTTCGTGTTCGTGTTGTTGGTGTTGCTGTTGCTGTTGCTGTTATTCTGGCATTGGTTTAACGACGCTTCGAGCTGCATTTAAAGCTGCTCAAAAGCACATTTGCTGCTTACATATTGTCCATTATGACAATATTAATATTTACATTTTGCCAGCCATTGTCCTGTCATAGAAACATATCCTTCTGCATATGCGAGTGTGCGTGCGTGTCTGTGTTTTTACTGCACACATGTTCACTTCGCTTCTTGTCGGTTGCATTTTGTATTTTCTTGTTTATTATTGCTTCATTCACTGAGCTCCACTTTTGGCCCCCACTTGCTGGCGCTTGTCAATATGCTTGCCATAGCTGTGCAGCGTTTTCATCATTTGATCCTTCAAACTTTAAGTTGTTTTCATTATTGTTCTCTGCATTTCTCGATTGGGCATCTTCTCTCAATTGCATTAAAGTCATTTAGCAAGCAGCTTATTAGACACTTTGTTTATTTATTTTTGTGCCAGGGATTAGAGCCTTAAGTTGACTGTTTGAAATTTAGTAAGGAGCTAATATATATAACAATATGTAAGTCGAGTGAAATGATACACAAGTGTGCAAATACTTGTGTAAGTAAGCTTCGTATTTTAATCAAATAATCAAATCTAATTAAATTAAATATAAATTGAAACATTTTCAAAGTTAACTCAATTTTAAATTTATTTAAAAGAAGTTTCGTGCAGTTCATGAGAAGTAAGCTGTATTAGTTATGAATATATTCAATATTAAGTTATTTATTTAAATAATTGATTCAATTAAATATACAAAAATTCTCTTGAATTTTCCATGAAGAATTATTTGTTTTTTAAATAAATAAAATTATATTTGGGTCAAAAAACGATGATGAAAAAAATCTTGAATATACAATTCTACTATATATTATAATATATATATATATTTAAAAAGAAAGTATTAACACATATATAAATAACACATTTATATATTATAAAATGTTACATTTAACATTATAAATAATACAAAACATATATGCAATTTTAAATATTTTTTAATTTAATTAATAATAATTATAATATTTTTTTTAAACATTTTTAATTTTTTTTTAAATGCATAACTTTCAATTTAGTTTTACGAGCAACCATTAACATGTACTCTCGCTGTTAACTCAACACCATAACACTGTTAAACTACAAAATTTCCCCAACATGGGCATAAATTCGAACTAAAGAGCTTTCGACAATTTACATTACGCTTGCTGTACTCACACACACATACACAAACATAGAGAGTCAGCTGTTGTAACGCTCACCAAGCAATAAGAATGCCAACACACACGAAGTGAGCGCTATATGGCCGGCTATACAGAACATCGGCTATGGCTTTCGTTAAGTGACGAAACGAGCAAGCGAGCGAGCGAGCAAGCATCGCGATGCTTCGTGAGAGCAGCCCGAAGAGCAGTAATGGGGCGAGACAACAGCGTTGGCAACAGCGGCCCGCTGCCGGCGACTGAGACAGGCAGAGGACGACAGCTTCCTGCTGCTGCTGCTTCAGTTACGTTGATAATGTCAAAACGTTTGGTTCGCTGTGCTGCTGCCGCTGCTGTTGCTGCTGTCGCCGCCGCTGATGCTGCTGCTGCTGCTGCCAACGACGACGCTGTCAATACGCAAGAACAACAACACGAAAACAACATCGAAGCAATAACAACAACAAAACAAATCGTTGCACAGGCCGCGCTAGCTGCCTAAATAAATAACAATTAACGAACAGCAACCAAAATTGATAAACAATTCAAAAAAAAAAAAAAATTACAAAAAAAAAACAGATATAAAGTTAAGCAACACATAAAATAGCAACAAAATGCAGCCCATGTGTCAGAAATTTTGAGAATTAATATTTCACTAGAGATTTGTGTGCCAAAAAGCAAAACTTTTTCTGTTTTTACAACTTTTGTGTGTTTTCGGACAAACACTGTGCTCACTGATTATTCGTTACATTTTTTGTGTTGCGCGTAAAATTATGAAAAATATGTGAAAAATGCGCTACAATAACAGCAACAACAACAACAACAACAACGACAACAACATTTGAGGCACTTACGCAGGTGAAACACGGTCCGGTCTCGCTCTCAATAACGTTCTGGCTCTGGATGCCGGTTCCAGGTCTCAGTCCACAGTCTCAAAGTTCAAATCCCACAACGACGTCAACGCCGTGTTTAACTCGTGTGTGAGTGTGTATGTGCGCGGACTGTGTGTATTTTTATACAAGACTTCAACGTTGTGTAATACTGTAACGTGCTAAATTTATTAATTTATTGGCACAGACTGCAAATAAACAAAACCAACAACAACAGCCACAACTACAAAGAGCAACATAACATGCACAATTTGTTATGCCCCAAAGGTGAGCCGCAATCAGAATACTTTTTTTTCTCTTTCTGCTTTCTAGTTGGAATCGCATTGAACAAAAAGTAACTGAAAGCTTTAGGAAATAGTAACTGATTCGTAAATGATTCGAGGAAAACTATCGAACTTCTTGAACTCTCTTAAGCTTCATTTACTGCTGCGAAAGTCCACTGCAATAAGTTTTCACTTAGAGTAAAAAGCAGAAATAAAAGTTTATTAGAAGTAGATTTGAGATCTGAGAAACAGTTATTGGTGCAAAAAAGTTTATATTTCTAATTAGATATTTTAAATGAAATTTATAATTATATTATAAATGAAATTTATTTAAAGGTGCATTTTAAGTGATTCGGAAAATCGTATGAGATTCAAAGATTATTAGAAAAAAGATTAATTAAAAAATGTTTTATACATAGGTAAATTCATTAAACATTTCTTATAATTTAGACAACCACTTTGAAGTTCTTCAACATTTTATGAATACTGAAAAAAAATTAGAACTTCCCTTAGACGAAAACCTTACTTAGGCCAGCTCGTAAAAATATCCATTTTAAACATTTTAAACTTTTATATAGTTTATGGAAAAAACTTCAAGATGCTAATTAAACTTTCTTTTGCATTTTTTGAATAAATTCCTGACTTGTTAAAAAATCAAGGACAATTATTGCAAAAAAATAATATGAAAGATAATACTTACTTAAAAATTATATAGATTTTCAAGACTTGAGGTCTAAAAGTGAAAATACGAAAGGTCGCCAGATACCTGAAACCTTTAAGACAAAGCAATTCCGAGAAATCTGTGCATAGTTTATATTTCAAGTTAATTTCATTATATTAATGAAGTCGTCTAAAAATATAAATTCTCCAAGTTAATAACTAATTTTCAGAGATTTATAAAACTTGAACAAAAACTGTCATGTAAATCTCCAAGGATAGTTTTTAACTTAACACAATTCACATAGAACACAATTCAAATTCACAGATATTTATTTATTTAAATATAAACAGAGTTCTCCTACAAAAAACAATGCCCAAGTTAAATTGGCATATTCTAAAGCTATCTCGTAACAACATAAATTTGCTTAAGAAATAATTAAGCAAATTAAAGTTTCACAAAGTGTTAAAATCATTTCCAATCTGTGAGATTATTAGGAACATTCCAAGCAAATGAACTGGCTTAGGCAAAAGTAAATTCAAAATTGAATTATTATTCATATAATTCGACAATTACTTTAAAGCTTTATGCTAACGCTGTGTTTGTATGTGAGTATGTGTGTATTTAAATTATATGCCAGAAACAGGGCGTATGATTGATAAACAATGAGTCTGCTTAATCTGAGCTGCATTAATTTGTTGCCGCAAATAGAGACCAACTTGTCGTATGCGTAATGTGCAAGAAATTAATTTTACCAAAATAACCAAACACAAATATTTGGCAGTTTAGGTAAACTGAAATCAATTTAATATTCTACTATTTGGGGATAGGGAGAAATCAGTTTAGTCGAATGTGTAGCAGTGACATTTCTGCAGAACTGTAAAATATATAATAATAATTATATATATTAATAACTAATATATATGAAGATATATAAATTTATATTTATAAAAATGATGTTGAAAATAAGCAAATAATTATTTAAAAAAAATGAAAAATTGTTTTATAATTTATATCTATTTTTTTATTACAAACTTTTTAGCTTAGCTAACATACATTTTTCGTCATTAATATTATTTTTTTTTTTTTTAATTTATAGTCCAAATTTAAATCAATGTTAATATTTATTTATTATTTATTTCTAATTTTCATTAAATTTTCCTTCTTATTTGGTTTGAGAGCTTTAATCAATGCTTGGATCTTGTAGCCATTCCGCTGCCAGTTTGAGAAATCGTTGACATGCCTTCTCGCAGGCCGCCAGACTTGTATAGACCTTCGGAAAGCAAATGTCACCACGTTGCAGAGGCTCACAGACGCCATCGCCATAAGTGAACTTCATTGTATTCTTATCATAGTCATGGCAGACCTTGGGCCTTGCATCATCGACCTCTGTAAAGCAAAAGCATTCGTTGCACACGTACTTTCCAAAAACTTGAAGTAGACAAATATATCAGCTCGTATTCTTATTTATGTAATTCATTTTTAATTGTTATTTACCCGTGGGCAAAGCTAAAAGCAGCAACACTCCGAACATATTCCAATCACCAACTGAGCGAGTGAACGAGATGCTAATTATAACTGCATCTAATCCAATTAGCAATGCAATTAGGAAAGCTAAAGTCTGTGTGTTGCGGTCGAATTTATTGACTGAGAAGTTAGTTTAAGAAGTTCTCTTTTGAATTAAAGGTGTCGAGACAGTTATTGTTGTAATAAATAAATAATTATAACAAATTCCTTTTGTAAATTGCTTCTACTTGAATGTTTCTTATCAGTAACTCAACAAAATTAAAGACTCAAATGTGATCAACTTTACTGTGTAGCTATTTAAGGAATCTAGCAATTTTATCTTAAGCGGACATCGCTATTAGAAGCTTCAAACTGCTTAGAAATTGTATTAATATGGATTTATCTTATGAGATTTCGATAATACTTTTCTATAACACAATTAGGATTAAAAAATAAAAAATATATAAAAATAAATATTATAAATTGTATTATTACTAAAACAAATATATTGTAAATCTTCAAAGCAACTGCCAGTTATATATAAGAAAGAAAGAAATAAATTTAAAACAGATAAAATAGCTTTTAAAACAGGCTATAGCTGGGCAAATGCTAACATATTTAATAAGAATGTCTAAACTAGTTACTCAAATTTAGTTAAATGAATTCAAACACCCAGCTTTTGGTGTATTTAATTTCCATGCAATTCATTTGTAAACTTACCATGCTGTTGTATAGCTTTCAATTAACGCGTTGTTTCGCCAAAAAAAAAAAAAAAAAAATAAAACTGCATAAAAATATCAGCGATTGAAGCCCCTGACCTAGTTAAAACTACAATACATTCCTCGGACCATTTGAAAAAAAAAAACAAATGCGCTTACAGTTCATTTCAGATACTATATGTACCTATATATACATATATACATATAAATGCGTATATATATATAGATTTTTGAATACCCATTCTTTGTTTTCACATGGTTTTTGCTATTATCCTCACTGTATTTGCTTTTCATTTTACTTTTTTTTTTCGTTTTTTGGGGTTAACCCGAAAACAAGCAATTTGCAACGGCGTTTGCCATTGTTTTTCCTCGTTATATATGTATAACTTTTTATTATCCTCCAAACAAAGTTCGTATATTGAATAATGTTTTACTTTGCAACATTGGCAACCATGTTATGCACAGGGTTGCCAGGGTTTTTCTTCAAAAACACAGAAAAAACGAATGTGACACAATACACAAATTTATTGAACTCAAAAAAATTGTCTTAAAAATGTTTGTTGAAATCCACGAGCAAGCCAAACGCTGCAAGTTTATGCCGCCCGGATCTAATAGAATGGACCGAAGCATCCCCATTCCCAGCAGCAGGCGCACCTGTTGGGTACATAATAAAATGGCGGACAGCAGCCGCACTCGCAGCAGCCGTAGCGATCCATGCTGGGCAGGACTGGGCCACAGGGGCCGCTTGTCAGGCGATAAGATACGATGCCGCAGGGCTTCTGGCCGCAACTGCATGATCCTGTGGGACAGCAGCAGTTGCCGCAGGGCCCACATGATCTGCAGCCGCTGCCACAGGAGCCACGCGAGCCGCATGGACCACATGAACCACACGGTCCGCATGGTCCACATGGACCACATGAACCACGCGGTCCGCAAGGTCCACATGGCCCGCACGGCCCGCAAGATCCACAACCCTTGCCAGGTCGGCGTTTGGACGGGCAAGGCATTCAAATGTATTCTTTACGCTTCTCTTGTCAAAAACAGCTTTTGGCGTCGCTTCTCCTATTCTCTCTCTTCACTTTGCAAATGAGCCACGCAAAAAATGTGCTAAATATGGCAAGCAGTTATGACAACTGCCTTTTAGTATTATTTAGCACCTTTTTTGGTTTCGATTAGCAAAACACTTGGATTTTGGTTCTTTTCTCCTTCCGACAATTCGAAAATTTATATATATGACACAAGACACATGACACTTGACACCAGGCTAACTCGAGGGAGACCACCCCGCTCGCCTTCCCCACCATTTCCACCATCTGCAGACAAACCTTAATAGCTGTCATCTAACCTCAAAAGCTGCAGGTAGCAGTTCACCTCACGAGCTGCTGCATTCGCCGGCAAACTATTAAATTTGATTTAAATTTCTATTTGCCTTGCGGTCGCCTATTTGGCTTTTCCAAGACAACTGCCACGCCTTTAACTGCTACCTCGCCCTCCCCGGGCCACGACATGCTTAAACCACACGAGTGGGTTGTGTGAGCCGCATTCAAAGGTGCCCAACTCGGTTTTTGGGCATGCCGCTGCGGTTGGTTGGGTCAGTGGGGCTAATGTAATTGATTGTCTGGGCCCGGCTGAGCACCACCTGAAAGTGCACTACGAGTCGAGTGCGAAAAAAAAGAAGAAATGTAACATAGATTGTCTAGTGGTACTGCTGAGTGCATGTTTATATATGTGTGTGTGAGGGATTTTTGCATGCCAACTGCGTGCAGACTGCACAGTGGTTAACAGTCGGTATATTGTGTTAAGATTTCTATTGCTTTTTATTAATTGGCGTCCATTAATACGAAGGCATTTATTGAATAAGCTACGGGAGTTGAGCTATAAATATATGCCAATAGCTGTTTGTGCAGCAATTTGCTGCATATAATGTGAATAATCTCTCATGCGATTTAGTATTATAGTTAATTTTATGTCTGTCTTATATAAGCAAGCTAATTATATGACCATTTTTGGACTTAAAAAAAGGACAACAACCTAAAAACCCCTAAAAACACAATAAATTCAATGTGAATGTTTGTGGCCTTAGAAAGATATAAACTATAAATATTAAATAAAAAAAAGACAATTCACTGAAATGATCTACGAATAATTGTGCTTGAAAAAATAAGAACAAATTTTTAGAAACTAAAATAGTTATGTTATTCATTAAAAATGAAAAAAAAATATATATATATTATTAACTATAAAATTCACTATAATAGCATATAAAAACTGCAAGAAAAATAACTTGTATTTGATTATGTGATATCAAAAGTTGCTTAAATCCAACTCCACGGATAACACTTAAAATAAACCTAATTCAAACCTATTTGCCATGAGTTCAACCAATGTGGCTGGCTGGCTGTGGCTGTTGGATTAATTTCACTTTAGCTGCCACTGTTTTTAGCATATTTTTCCGTTTTTTTTTTTTTGCCTGGTGCGCTATGTGCGAGATTTTCGTGGATTTGAACAGGACTTGGCAAGATTTACGAAATGGTGTGGCCCGGCCGTAGCCTTAGCTGCCTGGCGCACTGTTCGCCCGGCCTGCTCTCGACCTGTCGCTGAGATTTCAATTGTCCAAGTTGGCGGCGCTGGACATGTCAACAGCTGTCAGCCGGAGTTACGCTGCCGACAACGACAACAACTCTGTCTATGAAAACGGATGCTCATTCGTATTTCCCATTCAGAGCGGGCAACACCCCGACTTTGGCTGAGCTCATTTTTTCGGCTCATCTTTTAGTTATATGTTCTCTTGTAACTCGAACGAAAATAAAAAGAAAATTTAAATTTTAAGTCATTGAGCGGAAAGCATCTATTTAGCAAACGGCAAAAGCAGAAATGTGCGGCGGCTGGGCGTGTGCTTCATATGGCATTGCATGCAACAATCATCGTTTGTCCAACATGCGGTATACCGGCCGCTGTTTTGCGCCAACCCCTTGCGGCATCTTTGACAATTGCTCTGCAGGTGGCTGTGGTGGCGGCTGTGGCGGTGGCTGCTGTGGCGGCGGTTGCTCTGGTTGCGGTTGGTAGCAAACGCACAACATAACAAAAGAACTAATTTGGGCACCGCTAACGGGGTAAGATGCTTAGCCTCTGTGAGATGTACGTGTAATTATAGAACCCTCCCGTGTCAACAGGAGCTGCGAAAATCTGAATGAAGCTAGCCTTGAATTTTTGGAATATGATTTTAAGTCGACACAATGATGCCGCAAGGTAGATTCAGATCAGTCTGAGTCTTGTGTCGTGAGCGCATACGGCTCCCTTCAAAATTTTATACTGAGAGTAAGCATATATATATATATATATATATATATATATGTATATATATATATATATATTCACTTGCAAATTCAAAATCTCTCAGCTAAAATCAAAATCTATTGTCAAAGATGTGTGGTGGCTGGGCTTGCGCCTCTTATAGCCTGGCATGTAATAATCCACCTTTATCCACTACGCGTTTCACTGGTCGTGATTTCATACCCACGCCATGTGGACCCTATGACAAATGTTGTGTTGCGGATACCAGCTGCAATAGAGGAAATTGCATGCGTCATCAAAACATTACAGTTGAACTGACACCATGCGCGGAGCTGACCTCGTCAACAAAATCAGAATCTGTTCCCAACAAGCAAGCCAGGGATAATTGGCAATCCGTTTATAATAAAGTCAAATGTATTCGGGAATTAGCTGCCAAGCCCATCTAACAATAGATTTTAAAGTTATATTTCAGAATATAAATAAAAGTTTTTAAATCATTCTTAATTCACTGCGACGTTTGAAATGAATAGAAAATTTTGAATATTCTAGATTTGTGAATTGCTTTGGGCGTTGAATGTAGATAATTTCTTATATTGCTGAGTCAAGCGATTTGGGATATTAAATCGTGCGCATTAAATAAAATTTCTTACCAGCATATTCTGCTATAGCAATTTTAATTCCCCAAAAAATTTTTTTATTCTAATTCACATTTTTATATTGCTGCTGAGCCAAGCGATTTAGGAAATTAAATCGTGCGCATTAAAATTTACTTAGCATAAAACTAAAATTATTCTGCTATAGCAATTTTAATTACACGAAAATTAGACTACTTTCTAAAAACATGTACTTTTGCGCATAAAAGCGATAAATCTAAAATTTGGTTCCTTTATTGACGAAACATTGAACTTATTAAATGTTACAAGAAAAAGCCAAAATTAAAAAATTTCCGTCATCCTCTCATGCAAGCTTACACAACAATTTGTTATTGTGAACAGTTCACTCGGTCGGTTAGATGGGGCACGAAGGGGCTCAGTAGAATGGTCCGAAACACCCACGTTCGCCGCAGCAGCAGCATCTATTGGGTGGACAGGTCCAAGGACCACATGGCGGGCAAGGGCCACAACAGCAATTATTATAATTCATCGCAGGCAACGCTGGACCAACCGGGCCATAGGCCAAAGCATAAGAAACGCTTCCACAGGGACCACAGCACATCTTCGGTCAATAGGATATGATCTGAAACTAAATACGAAATAATTAATAAATATAGCCGACGAAATTCAACAACTTTCGCCGGATGACCTACCCGAATAAATGTTGCTTGCGTGAGCAAAGGACAGAAATTTTATTTATACGGATCGAAAAAAGTTTTTCGATTGAGCTATTTGGGCAAGAGACGAAAATGAAATAGAATCTGGAGCCAGAATATAGCTCTATCATTCAGTTCTATAAGGAATTTCTATTCAAAGCCAACCTGATTTGTGCTTCAAAAGAAAAAAGAACAGAAAAAAATTACTCTAAGAGCAAACTGCAACGAAATATCGATCAAAAGTTTCACATGTCGAAGATCTTTTTCGTTTTTTGCACAAATTTCACACATCAATGATTTAACACCGAGACAAGCGACAAATAAAAAAATAGAGAAAAATATAAAAAAAGTGAGCAAAAACATGACAGCCAAGCTGTGCGGCTGAAGTGTGGCAGCTGAAATACCCTTTGCTCAGATAACGAAAAATATGTTTTTATATTTGCAAAACAATTAAGTTTTCTCACAGACATTTTGTTTTTTTTTTTTTTTTTTTTGAGCCTATATTATTTATATTTTATGTAAAAATATATATTAAAGTAGAGAAAGAAATAAAAATTGGTCAAAACTATTCATCTAAAATAACAAAGCCGAAATAACCTTGCAGACCTAATCATATATTGAGAGAACTTTCTATATTTTGAATCCGTAAGCACAAACAATTTCTATTCGTTCTTATTTTATTTTTATTAATTAAATTTATAGTTTAAAAATAAAAAAAATATATGCAATATTTTTAACTGCTTTTATAAAAGATTTTAAATATAATTATTGCTTTACCTTGTTGATAGAAGCCAAAAAACTACTCAAAAACTTTTCAATACTTATCTATTTTTACCCACAATGCAGCCAAGCTAAAACACCCTTTTTGTTTAGCGCATAAAAATTGAATTTCTCTAAACGAGAAAATAGCGCAACAGTTTCGTCCCATGGCAAAAATAAGAAATCATTGAAACATGTCTACGAAAAATAAAAAGAAAAAGGCAAAGGCGAACCAGCTCTATAAAATGCCAGAGCAAAGTGGATGGCAAAGGATTTCGCTTACCGTGCGCCTGCAGCTTAGTGAGCCACAGGACTATGCCTTGAGTCGAGTCTAAAACTGGTTGAAACTGGGGCAAAGTCGAAGTCAACTCACAGTCGGCTGCCATGAAAGTCTATTAGACTCAACGAAGCAACCTTAACGTCATTTTAGCTCGATGGGAGTTAATGTCTATGTGTGTGTGAGTGTGGACACGACAAGCTAACTTGACTGTGTGCGAGTGTGTATGTGTGTGTGTGGGTATGTTGTGATTCACAAAAGCTGACAAGCTCATCGATGCCTGAACATTAGCTAAACATAAATTACACAGATGACTGCACAACAATTGAGGCGTTTATTATAATGTGTGTTCACACTTGAAGCTTCCCGTTGCGCAGCATAGGTAAATTAAGAGCATGAAGGGCATGTAGCGAAGGGAAAGTGCTGCCCCAAAAATTGCAGACTACAGATAAAAAAGAATATTTTACTTTTACTTTAATTCAAAGGAAACAATATGTCTGCGAGCGTAGATAAGGTATGGGTATGCATAAGTAGAATAACAAGAAGGGGATTTCGAGTTGGAGGTATTTCAATGTTAGGCTAAAGTAGAAGCAATCGATTTTATATAAACAAAACTCATTATTTGAAAATAAGCTATTCTCATTGAAAAACCGATTGGTATTGCTTAGAAATTGCTTTAATTAATTATTTAACTCTATTTTATGTAAATTTTAATATTCTATAAAGCAGTTGAGCTGAGCTTTAGGTGTGTAAGAGTATAATTTTTCTGATTAAATTATAAAGTAAAATTTATTTTTTGATAAAAACGAAACAAAATAAAAGAAATTTCTTTACTTTTATCTTATTTTACAATATTCTGTAGATAAACCAGATTCTAAAGAAACCTTTTTAAAAATAAAATAAATAACTAATCGTTAATTGCATTATATATATAAGAAAGGTGAAACTAAATTTATTTTCTCAATTTTTTAAAATATTGCTAATGCTTATCGCATATCAAATATATTTTCAACATTTCTTTGATTTCTTTGATTGAAAACTATAGTTTTTTACTCTTCCTTAAAGTAAATTAACTTGATGTTCATTTAACAAACTATTGTAAAACTTATTTAGCAATCGCACAGAATCGAATCAAGCTCAACTGCATTTGTGCGGGCTCGAGTTCATGCTCTCCCTTGCTTCCTCCTCTCCCACTTTCTCTTTCTCTCACTCTCTTTCCTTCTGAGGTTTGCTGCTGCCCGTAGGAAAATGGTTGCCCACTTAAGATAATCTCATTGGTGGCATGCCAAAAAGTTTGCGGCGCGCCGAGTGAAAACACACACATACACGCGCACAATATAAAAATGTCACCAAAGCAAACAAAGCGCCACAAAAAAAATATAAAAAATAAAATACACACAAGAAAGTAAATAATACACCAGCAACAACAACAACAACAACAACTTTTCTATAAAGAAAAAAAGGTATTCCGTTTTAAATCAAATAGATGTACAAAAATTTTAGCTCAGGTTTTCTTTTGGGTTGCCTTGCTTTTTGCTCCTTTGGCTGTGTCCTTCAGAAGTGGCCACAGAAGCCACAGCAGCAGCATTTTGGACACTTCATTTCATAGCAGAAACATATTGAGCCGCTGGCAGTTGAGTGTGCGCCAAGAGATAAGCGCAATTATATGGATTCAAGTGGATACGACCAGCAACCGCCGGGATACTCACACAGACACACGGACACGTATAGCTGTATAAATTAGGTAAAATCGTAACTTATGTGACGTTTGCCTTCATCGAGACAAATGATTGGAGAAATCTTTAAGTGCACTCACTATGTGTGTGTATTGGGGCACTTTAAATCTATATATATATATATATATATATATATATAGATATATATATACCTTGCACTGATATTGAAAAGGTATCCTTCCAAATACCTCTGAACTTTGTGCCATGTCACATTTGTCATCAAGTGCTCGTTATGGGCAATTTTTGGCAACTGCCTTTGAGCTCTTGGCTTTTGTTTCCTGACCACATGCTGTGCGTGTATGTGTGTGTGGTGGGCGTAGTTTGTTGTGTGCGCGCCTCAAACTCAAGTGCTCTTTTAGGTAGCCAGCGGCAATGTCGAGCCTTGTGGCATGTCAAGCAAATTATAGCCAAGAAGTGAAACGTTGACAAGTGGCCATTGAAAATGAGACACTCAAGCGCTTAATATTGTGGCCAAAATGTTACAAAGGGCGGGCTCTGGGATTGCGTCTGGATTAAGAAATTTAGAGAGAGCTAAGCTAAAAAAATTACAAAAACAAAAAAAACAAAAGCAAAAGAACGAAGCACGTGCCGCTTTTATTAACTGAAAGATTCATGTACTTGCAGAAAAGAAACTGAGCTGTTGAAAGAAAACTGACGGCTGAACAGGTTCACCTGCAAAATATTTAAATTAAAGTAAACTTCTTAAAGAAATTTGAAGAAAATGATTAATTTGTTTTTTTTTTTATAGTTAATTTGACGTATTTAATAATTGTAATCGAACATTCATAATTGTTCATAATTTTTTGTTAAAAAGACAATTTGATACATGAAATAGGCGGCCCAAATAGGAAATGATATTGAAATAAAATTAAATAATAGCAAATCATTCAGCAGCCGCTTTGGCTTTTGAAGCAGCGCTCAGATATGTCAAGAAATTTTGCGTTAATTTTTTATATCACGAATATTGGTATCAAATCGACTTTTCTGATTTTGATTCAATAGAAGTTTTTAGCAACTACATTTTCTGAACTTCGTAGGAGTACGCAGCTAGATGTGGGCTTAATAAACAAGCGAGTGCACTCATGCATAAGATATATTAACAACTAACGCTGAATTTCGATGGATTTTTTTTAACTTAAACTCACATTTTATATAATTTATATTAAAATGGCAAATCCTGTTGCATATTTAAATAGCCATATGTTATCAAAATTTTTAACAATTATTAAAATATAAATATAGGCAATAGTATCACTCTTATTGGGTCAACCTCTAGTGTAACTGTGGTAAGCAAGATCTAGATTTTAGTTCACTTTTAGAGTTCTACAAATTAATTCAAGTCTACTCCACAGATTTAAATTTCCACTTGCAACAAAATTTAAATGGTTTTAATATATATATAAATTATATCATTTTATTATTTATTTTATTATGTTTTGCTCTCACTCAATAACGTTCTCTCGAAGCGCGAAACTCACCTCATTCAAGCTTATGTCTAGCCGTAATCCTTTGCCCAAGTCAAATCTGATTCATATTAGCTCAAGCAAATTTTTGAGTTCAGTTCAGTTCATATTATTTTTTATGCGCTTTGTGATTTTCAGACCTTCTGGAAATATATATTTTATTTATTTTTTTATAATATTTTCCATGCTGCATGCTGAAGCTCTCTGCTTCGCACACCATACAAATACCATATAACATTCCCTTTCGATGCTTTTTTTTCTTATATTTGAGGCACAGAAATATTATTCGTTTATTTGCACAGCCTTCGCCTTGTCAGCGTCTTTGGCTGTTTGTTGCTGTTGTCGTCTACTTGGCACCGGCGTCGTCTGCCCCACGCCGCAGCGCCCCTTAACATCCGTCGACCTACGCGCTACTTGGTTAGTTCGTCTAGATTCCATTTGGTTTTTGGGTTTTTTGTGCGTTTGCCAGACGCGCCACGCTTCTCGCTTCTGCCCTTTGTGCGTGGGTGCGTATGAGTGATATTTTTTTTCTATCGTTTTCTTTTTCGTAAATGCTGGCAAACATAAAACATCAAATGTAAATTGAAAGTCGTTCGTGTGTGAAACTGAATGTGTCATCAGTTGAAGCGTTTATTATTTTTTACAGCTTTTGACTTGGGCTCGCTTTAAGAAGTTCTCATTTTTCTTTCAGGCTGCTCGTGTTAAGTTGCCTTTAAAAAAAGGCGTTGGGCGTATCTAAGCTGTTTGCTGTGCTGCTCTCGCTAAGGCATTGACTGTGCAATGTCTTGTAAAATCTTTTATTTCCGCACAGGCCTCCATGCCACATGTGGCAGCACCAGCAGCAGCTTTTTTGCTGTTTGAG